GGGGGGGTGGTGGTTATGCGTGCGTGTATGATCCTCATAATTTCAATAACCCTGTATGTTTTGTAAACTGAGGAACTCATCCAAGTGTTTTTTCGAAGCAGTTTATGTCTCCCACTGATACTGCTATCTGTGGAAGTGACTTCCACATCTTTACCACTCTCAAAGTAAAATACCCCTTACCCACTTTACTATTATACCTCCTCCCCTCCAACTTTTTGTAGGTGTTCTTGAAAACCCAGACCCTTCATCCCCCTTAATAATTTGGTTGCCCTTCTCTGAACCTTTTCTTGCTCACGGACATCCCTCTATAGGATTGATGACCATAATTGCACCACATACTCAAGATGGGGCCTTACCGGTGTTTTTAAAGGGGCAAAATGACATTTCTATCTTGTGAATTAATCCCTCTTTTCATGCAAGATAATATACTACTAGCTTTATTAGCTGCAGCTGGGCACTGCATGCTATTACAGAGTCTGTAGTCTATAAGGACCCCAAGATCCTTCTCCATCACTGTTTTCCCAAGTGAAACCCCGACCACGGTGTATTGCTGTTTGCATGCACAGGGCCTGACTAATCAAGTGACTAAAAACTTGAAATCCAGAAGAGGACTAAGCAAAAGATGGAAATGCCAGAAAGGAGGAGCACTGCACTGGGAATGATTGGTTTGGCAGTTAAGTCTGCCATAATGTGCTAATAGTACTAGCACATTATGGCTAAAAGCTTTTTTTTTGTAAATTGCTTTTACTTCCACTTTAAGGCTTTAAGTACAATTTTTTTATGCACCTGAAATCTGTTTAACTGATTGAAAAATTAAATTACAATTTAGAATCTTGACATATATATGCAGGGGTCTCAGGTTACCTGTTTTTATTTTTCTGTAGTCTTCCAATAAGGCATTGCTATAGTGCACCAATCTACCCTATTCCTGATTCTGTGATTCCCTGTCTGCTGCCTCTCACAAACAGAATGCCTGAAGTAAAAAAATCCAATAATAAGATGCTTCTCCCAGAAACCAATCAGATTTAACCCTGCCCTAGAAGTTTAAAGGTGATTGGTGATGCAGGAGGTAGAGACAGAGAAAGTTACACTGGACAGGCTTCCAGAAGTAAACTCCTAATGTTCTACTGACCCTTTTATATGTGTCTGCAGTGGATTATACAATGCCTATATTTAAATTATTTTACTTGTAGTGAAACTGTCCTTTTTTTGTAACCCCCTTGAGTGCAGCCCACTTGGTAAAATACTAAACTAAAATAATTTTCTTCCCAATACCACAATTTTTACCATGCAACCCTGCCGCACAGCCTTAGCAAAGTAAATGGCCCAACCGGGGCTTCTGTCTACTGCACACGCGTCCCATGGTCATTCTTATAGGTGAACTCTATCCATGGCAGCTTCAGCCATTCATTGGAGTACAGCTGATCTATTAATTCACAGTAAATAATTATTTGGGCCATTACAGGCACTGTTGCTTTTGTAACAGGTTTTTATTCCTGGCTTTGTAAACTCAGACAATTTATCTCCATTATACGTTGATGGTTATATTAAAGTAAATGGACCTGAAATAAATCCATATTAACCACAGCTGAAACTGTTTCTAAAAGAAGACATAAACCTGTTGGAATACACAAAACATATTAAGCAGCGCAAAAAAATTGTCAACCCACCACAACAAAGCAGAATTGGAAAAGTTCCTTTTTGGAGTAGTACATACTTTCTTACTGTATGTTTTTAGTGCCAGTGCACCTACCAAATAATTGTAATTACTCTGTGACACTAAATTAGGATACACTTAAAAAATAACACTAAACTGAGACATCATTCCTCTCCAAGTTGGGATAATTTATCAATATGTAGTTGCCATGGCAACAGTGCATGTTAATTATATTTCACATGGCAGGTTTTCTAGGAGTTCCAAGTTATTACTTTTTGCAAAGCTATTAAGAGAAAAGACTACATTCATCTTATGCACTGCATTTTTAATTATTCTATAAGAACTGAATATAAAAAAAAATACTTTCATGTCATTGGCCTATAAACAAACTTTCTTGTTGTTTTTAGCAAGGGTTACTAGATGATTGTGCAAGGGGTACTAGGTAATGGCAAATCAGGACAGTGTTGGGTGAATGTAGAATTACTGACCATCTCACATGTCAAGTCCTAGTACTGGCATGGCCATTAACACAGCAGTTTCAGCTTAGCCCTTTAGTCACTAATAGCCAAATGAATAACCATGCTGAAGTGAACTGAGCAGAACGCCGTTTGGCTATTCACTTCGGCCCCATATGGCTGATTTCAGCTATACAACGGCTAAAATCAGCCGTACATTGTCTGCCTTTGGCTGGCTTTGGTGAATGTTACTCCAATCACCACAATCTGTTAGTCACAACCAGATGTTGATTGCATTTGCATAATTGGAGTCTATTGTATGTCACATACAATGCTGTTTTAACACCTCTCTCTGGGCAGGTTAATAACACCTCCTAGACTCCAATTAATCAAATTCTATCAACACCTGGTTGTGACTAACAGATTATGGGGATTGGTGTAACATTCACCATATTTATTTTCAGAGTCATTCTGAATTAAGAAAGCTGGTTGGATGACCAGTGAAACGTCTTCAAGAAAAATACAGCAAGTCCAGTTGCCTTGGATTATATTTTTTACAGACATTCACTAAAGATTTAAATAAAAATATAAATAAAGAGACCAGACTTTTGAAAAAAAAATCCTTTAATTGAAAAAACAACAACAAAAAGTTTTGAT